AACTCTTCTGCCTGGATTGAGTTGTGCAAAGTCGATCCTGAATCATCTTGACCTTTTCCAAGGTATCCTAAACCAAATTGGTACCCAATATCCGAGCCTCTCCCGGATCAAACCAACCAACTAGCGAACGACACCATCTCCCACATAATGCCTCATGAGGAGCCATCTGAATACTTAATTGGTAGCTGTTATTGTAGGCAAACTTCGCCAGCAACAAGAACTGGTCCCAAGAACCCCAGAAATCCATAACGCAAGCGCGAAACATATCCTCCAATATCTGAATGGTGCGCTTGGACTATCCGTCCGTCTGGGGATGAAATATTGTGCTCAACTCAACCCGTGTGCCTAACTCACATTGTACGACCCTCCAGAAGTGCGAGATAAACTGCATACCTCGATCAGAAATGATGGACATGGGCACACTATGAAGACGGACGATCTTGCGGATACAGATCTCAGCCAACCGCTCTGAATAATAGGTAACTGCTACTGTAATGAAATGTGCCGGCTTGGTCAACCTGTCCACAATGACCCATACTGCATCAAATTTCTTCGATGTCCATGGGAGCCCCCACAACAAAATCCATGGTGATACGTTCACATTTCCACTCGAGAATCTCAAGCTTCTGGAGCAAACCGCCAGGTCTCTGATGCTCATGCTTTACTTGCTAACAATTTAGACACCGAGTCACATATACAACTATATTCTTATTCATTCTCCTCCACTAATAATGTTGCCTTAAGTCTTGACACATCTTGGCGGCACCCGAATGAATAGAATACCACGAACCGTGGGCCTCCTCAAGAATCAACTCACAAAGCCTATCTACATTGGGCACGCAAATCCAACCCTGCATCCAAAATACCCCATCATCTCTAATAGTAACCTGCTTGGAACCGTGCCACACCGTGTCCTTAAGGACAAGAAAATGGGGGTCGTTATACTGACACTCTCTAATGTGCTCATACAAAAAAGACCGAGAAACTGTGCAAGCTAGAACCCGACTGGGCTCCAAAATATCTAATCCCACAAACCGATTGGCCAAAGTCTGAACATCGGATGCTAGCGGCCTCTGACCAACTGGAATATACGCAAGGCTACACAACCTTTATACTCAAGGCATCGGCCAACATATTGGCCTCCCCAGGATGATACAAAATGGTGATATCATAGTCTTTCAACATCTCCAACCACCTCCGCTACCTCAAATTGAGATCTTTTTGCTTGAACAAATATTGTAGACTCCGATGATCCGTGAACACCTCACTCGACACGCCGTAGAGGTAATGCCTCCAAATCATCAGTGCATGAATAATGGTTGTTTGGGTCATGAACAAGGTAATTCTTCTCATGAACCTTTAACTGCCGCGACGCGTATGTAATCACCCTGCCATCCTATATCGAGCCTAATACGTGATGCATCATAATAAACCGTGTAAGATCCAGAACTTGTGGGCAACACCAACACTAGCGCAGTAGTCAAGGCAGTCTTGAGCTTCTGAAAGCTCAACTCACACTCATCCGACCACCTAAATAGGCGCCCTTCCGAGTCAATCTTGTCAATAGGGCTGCAATAGATGAAAACCCCTCCACGAACCGACGATAATAACTTGTCAAACTCAGGAAACTCAGAATCTTTGTAGATAAAATAGGTTAAGGCTAGTTCTGAACAGCCTCAATCTTCTTAGGATCCACTTTTATGCCCTCGGCCGATACAACATGCCCCAAGAAGGCAACCGAGTCTAACCAAAACTCACACTTTAAAAAGTTGGCATATAACTGACTATCTCTTAGAGTCTGAAGCACAACTCAAAGATGTTGCTCATGCTCCTCTCGATTGCAGGAGTATATCAAGATATCATCAATGAATACGATCACAATAGAGTCCAAATAGTCTTAAATACCCGATTCATCAAATCCATAAATGTTGCCAGGGAATTTGTTAACCCAAATGACATCACTAGGAACTCATAATGCCCATACCGAGTCTGAAAAGCTATCTTAGGGACATCCGATGCCCTGATCTTCAACTGATGGTAGCCAGACCTCAAATCAATCTTTGAAAACACTTTAGCACCCTAAAGCTGATCAAATAAGTCATCAATCCTCGGCAACAGATACTTGTTATTGATATTGACTTTGTTCAATTGGCGATAGTCTATACACATCCTCATAGAACCATCTTTCTTCTTCACGAACAACATGGGCACACCCCAAGGCGAGACACTAGGTCTTATGAATCCCTTATCAAGTAAATCTTGCAACTTTTCCTTCAGTTCCTTCAACTCAGGTGGCACCATACGATATGGTAGAAAAGAAATAGGCCGAGTGCCTAGAGCCAAATCAATGTAGAAGTCAATATCTCTGTCGAGTGGCATCCCCGGCAGGTCTATAGGAAATACCTCTAGAAACTCACGCATAACAGGTACCGAATCCATGGAAGGAACCTTCGCACTATAATCGCGAATATAGGCCAAATAAGCTAGACATCCCTTCTCAACCATACGTCCAGCCTTCACATAAGAAATAAACTTGTTGGTAGAATGGCCGGAAGTCCCTCTCCACTCTAATCGAGGAAACCCTAGCATGGCTAAGGTCACCATCTTAGCATGACAATCCAATAAGGTGACAATCAATCCATGCCCAAAATAACATCAAAGTCTACCATATCAAGAAGTAGGATATCTACTCTAGTCTCAAGACTCCCAATAGTAATCACACACGAGTAATAGAAATGGTCTACAATCATAGAATCTCCCAAGGCATAGACACATACATAGGAGCACTCAAAGAATCATGAGGCACAACCAGATATGAAGCAAAATAGGATGACACGTAGGAATAAGAAGAGCCTGGATCAAATAGAACTAAGGCATCTCTATAGCAAACTGGAACAATACCTATGATAACGACGTCAGATGACTCGGCCTCAGGTCTAGCTGGGAATGCATAAAATTGGGGCTGGGTCGTACCACCCTAACCTCTGTCTCTCGGACGGCCTCTAGCTATCTTGCCTCCACCTCTAATGGCATGACCTCCACCTCTAATAGCCTGACCTCCACTTCTGGCAGCTTGGCCCCTGCCTCTAGATAGCTGAGTGGGTGGTGAAACAACCAGTGTCGGAACCATGGCATGAGAACTATGTTTTGGCATGTTGCTCAACAATCTCGGGCAGTACCTCCTGATGTGACCAGTACCCTCACACTCGAAACACCCCTCCTGCTGTTATGGTTGCTGAAGCTGAAACTGACCCGAACAAGCCAGAAAACCACGGTGGTAGCTCTAGATTAGAGGCGCACTAATAGGAGTTGATGGTGCACTGTAGGTTGGCTGCCCAGGATGAGATACATAAGGACCACGACTACCCGAAGCACTGTGGGATGCATGAAGCGCTGACTGAAATGGCCTATGAGGGTGGCCTCTACCAAAAGTATCCCTACATCCAGATTAGGCACCACTAAAAACACCGGAATGACGAGGCCTCGTATTAGACATCGGTCCCCTCTCCTGACCAAGAAATATTCGATCCGTCTAGAAATATCTATGCCCTTCTGGAAAGAAATATCATCTCTAGTCTCCTTGGCCATTTGTAGCCTAATACTGAAAGTGAGCCCATCAATGAATCTCCTCACTCTCCCCCTCTCAGTAGGGAGTAAAATAATGGCATGGAGAGCTAGGTCCACAAATCGAGTCTCATACTAGGTAACAGTAATATTGCCCTACCGAAGACGTTCAAACTGCATGCGATAATCCTTTCTCAGAGTGAAAGGAATGAACTTCTCTAGAAATAGTTGTGAAAACTAATCCCAGGCAAGTGCAGGTGAACCAGCTGGTCTACTCAACATATAATCTCTCCACCATCTCTTGGAAGAACAAATCATCTGAAACAATGCAAAGTCAACCCTATTGGTCTCAACAATACCCATGTTGCACAACACCTCGTGGCAACGATCCAAGTAATCCTGTGGGTCCTTAGAAGGTGCACCACTAAAATAAATAGAAAAAGATTGGTAAACCTATCCAACCTCAATAAGGACTTATAAGACATAACGGGCCTATCCCCAGCTTGTGGCGCTACAACCGGCTGAACTACCCTGACTGGTTGGGCCGCTAGAGTCTGATATAGGGGAGCCACCTACTCTGGGGTGTGAGTAGCGGGAGTCTTTGCTCCTCCCCCAGACTGAGAGATGGCTGGTGCAACCAAAAGTACACCGGTCTGGGCCACACTCTCCAAAAGGCCCTCCAAGCGGACAAGAGCATCCTGAAGCACTGGACTAGGTATGAATCCCTCCATGACTTGAGCTGGTCCGACAGGTAGGGGTGGGAATTCGGTATTTCAGTTCGGTATTTATTAATTTCAGTTCAGTATTTCGGTATTCGGTTTATCAATTGTGTATACCAAAATATCGTACCAAATTATTTCGGTACGGTTCGGTATTTTTTATTTTGGTTCGGTACGGTTTTGGTTTAATAATCGCTAAATATATTTATGACACCTGACATCTCTCTGCCCCTCTTCATGCACAATTCTTCAATGAATCACAATGAACCACTGTTATAAAGTAAGTTTACATGTATTCTACCAAGGGTCAATTTCTACGTTAGTGTATTTACTATTCTTTGTGATAATTATGAGTTTAGGAGTTAATATAAATATACATATTCTATAAAAAAACATGTTGTTTCTATTCATGTAATTCAAGGAAAATATAATAGGCATATTTGCACTCATAGTCAGATTCCCTTTGCTCTCACAATTCACTGATTCATTGATTCACTGAATTCACAATGTTGACAATTTGGCATTCAACAGTCGGTGAATTAAAGAAGGAAAGGTTATATACATAAGTTATGTCATCAAAGGATAAGCACAATTAATTTATTGTTGACAATGTTTCATGACTCTTTAGAGTGGGCTTGGGCAGTTGGGCGGGGAATTAAATCAAAAAAGGTTTGGGCTTGGGCGCTAGGGCTGGGTAGTAAGAAACTAGAAAATATCTTTAAAAATTCGGTATTTCGGTATACCGAAATTTCAAAATTCTAATACCGAGGACCGTACCAAAATACCGAAATTACAATAACGAATTAGATCAAAATACCGATCGGAATTCGTTTTTTCGGATTTTATGCCCACCCCTACCGACAGGTACGGTCTGAGCAGGGATCTCCTCCTCATGATCAGTTTGAGGCTCCACTATAGGTGTTGTTGCTCGAGCTCTAGGCTGAGCTCTACCTTTGCCTCGGCTTCTAGTTCGATCTCGGCCTCAGACTCTGCCCTTGGTAGTAGCTACCATAGGGGGCTCTGGCTCCTGTCCGGCTACAGATACTGTGCATGTTCTCGCCATCTGCGAGAGAACAAGAATCGAATGGTTCAATCATCAACGATAGAATGAAATCACATAATAGAGAAAGAAAGAAATGAAATTTTTCCTAAAACTCCATAGCCTATGGAAGACAAGTACAAACGTCTCTGTACCGAACCTACAGACTTTACTAAGCTTGCTCATGACTCGTGAGACCTACGCGATCTACTGCTCTGATACCAATTTGTCACGATCCGGAATTCCCACCATCAGGACCGTGATGATGCCTATCATTTCACTTGCTAGACAAGCTAACGTTAGATATAGTTATTAACCATTTTTAATAATTTAAATCAAATGAAAACCAATAAGCTGAATAAACTGAAATAGGGTAAATACACTAATAAACAACGATATCCAAATACAATCCCAAAACTGGTATCACGAATACACGAGCATCTAGAGTACTACAAATAATAGTCTGAATAAAAGCATAATTGTCTGAACTGAAATAACTAGCTAAGGTGATATAGAAGGGGACTTCAGGGCCATGAATGTTATGCAACTATACCTCAAGTCTCCGTCAAGAACTGGATCCGAGCAAATCTATTGAACACCGCTAGGACCCACTCCGAAATCTGCACAAGAAGTGCAGAGTATAGTATGAGTACAACCAACTCTATGTACTCTGTAAGTGTCGAGCCTAACTTCGACGAAGTAGTGACGAGGCTAAGACAGCCACTTACAATAACCTGTACGTAGTAATGATAATAATAACAAGGAAAGAAAACAGGAATGAAAGTAAAGCAGGTAATTTATGAAAACGAACTCAACCTTACAATCAAAGAATCCAGAATGTCAAACCTCATAATCTCATATAAAAATGCTGAAGACTAACACAATAACAATAACGAGTACAACACACACAATTCGTTGCGGCGCACAACCCGATCCCACAGTACACACACAATCCTCCTTTATTTCACCTTAACATCATTTATCAATATCAAGAATCACATATAAAATCCGTTGTGACGCGCAACCTGATCCCACCATGTCATCATAATCAATGTTATAATCCTCTTTTATTACATCATATCATCATTTATCAATATCAAGTATTACATACACAACCATTGTGGCACGCAACCAGATCCTACAATATTATCAGAATCAATGTCATAATCCTTCCTTATTACACCATATCACAACAGTTGCGGCGTGCAACCTGATCCGCAAACAAGTTCAATAAATGTAATCAATCCAATAGCTCAATTTATAAGAATCTCTACAATTAAATGATATGAAATCAAAGCAATAAAGGAACCACGTACTAATTAAAGGAATGCTACAAATAATACAAAAGAAACAAGACAAGTCAAGTACGTTACAATTAAGATGTGCAAGTAAGATAATTAAGGCAAGTAGCACTTAATCACGGAGTCATGGAAGGGACGAACAATTCAATATAAGAATAATTAATGACAAGTAACAAGTTACGGCATAGAAAGTAATTAAAGCATGTAACAGTTAAGGCATGGAATAAGATAATTCATGAAATACGAGAAAGACATGGAAACCATTATTTTAACGGTGTATATATACTCGTCACCTTGCATAACATATAGTTCAAGGGTTCCTAATTCCCTCAAATCAAGATTAGACCTAACATTGCCTCGTTCCACAATCAAATCAAAGCTCAATCGGGGCCTTTCGGTCAAAACCCAGGTATATCACGACCCAAACTCCACATGTCATGATGGCACATATCACAAAACTAGGCAAGCCTACAATCCCAATAAAACTAGGTATTTTTATATTAAAAATAAGATGAAGCAAGTTAACACTAATAACTCTCATAAATAGTCGATATAAACAAGTGCGACTAGAATATAATTTTCCCAAAATTCAGGTGTCACTGAGTACATGAGCATCTATACAACTACATAGTCTGAAACACCGTCTAGGAGGGTAGAACAGTATAAGTAAAACTAAGAGATAAAGGAGGAGAGTCAAGGTCTACCGACACCAAAGCAGCTACCTCGATGATCTCCAAACAGGTAAAAACTCCAAGATCAGCAACCACTATACATCAAAATATCTGGATCTGCACACGAAGTGCACAGTGTAGCGTAAGTACAACCAACTCAATAAGTAACAAGTCTAACCTTTTGGGCTAAAAGCAGTGACGAGCTCAACCAATATAGTACAAATATAGAGTTTAACAGTACATAAATGATAGGAAATAGGACAAAAATATCTCCAAGAAAAACCCATAACTTTTCGTACACAGTACAAGAAATGTAGACATGCTTCCAGGTTTAACAGTTAAGTTCAACACAGATAAAAAAAAGCCAAGTTTGACTGATATGAGGAATATGACATCTCTATATCCATATGCCAATATGAATACTATATGTGATGCAACATAATGAAAACCTCACGTACTCACACTCTCAGAGCACTCAATCTGATTGTCTCAATTCTCGCTCGTCACACTCAGTCACTCAGCACTGTAAGGTGCCTATTGCGGCATGGAGTCCGATCCCATAAATAATAATAAAACCTATAAGGCTTGTTGCGGGTGCAACCCAATCTACATAGCCATAAGGTTTATTGCGGCGTGCAACAAGATCCACATATAGCCAATAAGCCTGTTGAGCGTGCAACTCCACATCTCTCACTCACACACGGCTCTCGTCCCCCAACTCAGTCATCAATCTCTCCAGTCTCTCGGGCTCAACACACTCATGTTAAGCATCCCAAATCAATGATACATGATGTGACAATAAATGATATAGTGATTGAGATATGATATGTAATGATGAATGCGATTGAGTACATAACTGCAAATTAAGCAAATAATCTCAACAGCAAAAGAACGATCATTGTGGGTCCCAATAGTACCAGCTCATAGCCTAAACATAATTTTTAACATAAATCACAGCTCAAGTGCTCTAACACATTGAGTACAGTTGTAATATTTATATAAGGTGACTACGCAGTCCCACAAAATCGATTAAGTCATAATTACTATGGTGTACGGCCACACATCTGTCACCCAGTATATGTTTCACTTCAACACCAATCACATAATACGAAATTTAAGGGCGCATACCCTCATAACCAAGTATAGAAGTATTACTGTCACAACCCAAACCGATGGGCCGCAAAGGGCACCCGGTACCTTACTCAACCGAGTACCAACGTAACGTATCTTTCTTATTACATCATCATATACATGTGACATACGGGCCTTATAGGCCAACATAATCATTTATAAACTCAAAACATAGGCCGACAAAGCTGTACAATCTTTCACGTACACGACATATGTCTACAAGCCTCTAAGAGTACATAAATGTCATAAAGGTCGGGACAGAGTCCCGCCATACCAAACAATACACGTCTAAATCATACTAACCAAACAAGCAACTCCGAAACAAATGGAGCGCACCAACATCTTCTGCTGAGCTGATAGCCTACATGGAGGGCTCTCAACCTGTCTATCAGAACCTGCGGGCATGAAACGCAACGTCCCCAGGCAAAAGGGACATCAGTACGAAAAATATACCGAGTATGTAAGGCAATATACTGAAAGCTGAAACTAAATTGATAATATAATAACTACAAGTAACTGGAAGTCAAAGATAATCTGAAGTATGCTTACCTGCTAATACTGACTCAACTCTCTCAATATAGTGAGTAAAATATATGTCCGACCCTATAAGGCTCGGTATATATATATATATATATAACTGCTCTGTCGTAGTAGGCTCGCTCATATGCGCTCGGCCATACTAGGCTCTGTATCTCGGCCAACTGGGCTCGCTCATAAGCGCTCGGCCATAGTAGGCTTGGTGTATATATATATA